GCCTCCGTGGTGGGGGCGGGAGGTTTGGGAGGGAGAGGCAGTCATTGCTGGCAGCGTGGTGGTGGCCGGGCCTCCAGGTAAGCGGCAGCGCCACATGCAGACTCAAGCCCTGCCTCCCCTCCCCACCTGCGTATAGTTGAATTCACGCAAGTTAAATGTGCATATGATGTGACATGCCTGTATTGTCTTTCTGATACCAACCCCATTATGCTAATCCATATTTTTGTCACTTCGAGGTTCGTAAAGTTACTTATCACCTCTGGGTGCATCTACACATGTGCTTTAATGCACATTAGCTTATTTTAATGCACGTTAAAGCATCAGAAAAAACTGTTCTTATGCTAATGTACATTAAAATAGGCTAATGTGCATTTTTCTAGTCCCTCACAATGGAGGTACTAGATTTAATTCACACAGATTTCACGTTACCTAAAGCACATAATTGAAAGTGTAGATGTGCCCTCTATGTCTCTTCCTTTGTTTACCCACTTTTTTCAAGGGCTGAGAGCACTACAAATGAATATGTATTCTTTTTATTTAGCCTCCGTTACCTGGAACCTCTGGGGACATCCAACCACCAATGCAGGTTTAACTTAAAATGTACCATTAGTGTGTTTCAAAGGTTACATTCTTGCTCAGTATTTTAGAGGTGCCCATCAATTTTGCTTGTGGAAGCATACATACTCTTATAACAATCCTGTGGTAATACCCCTATCATGAGATCCCACTGCACGACTAATAATTGACATTGTGCTTATGCTTATGCCACAGATTTTCTTCAGTTGTTACACCAACTGATTCTATAAGTCAGTGTTTTCTTGCATTTTCATTTGAAATTTCTCAGAAATTGAAAACAAAAATCATAATGAAATGTACTCTCTCCCTTTTAATAATCACAATATCTGATTTTCTAGAATTTGTTATAGCAAAACCCCATAATATTTTTATACTTAGATTATGGACAAACATAACTTTTCTTAAAAGGGGAAAGGGAGTTGCTGCTGTGGAGTGCTTATCAGCTATTGTGAGCTATCTGTTACATCTGCATGTTCCTGTAGGGCAGAGGTGCTCAATTTCCAGCCTACGGGCCAAATGCAGCCCTGCAGAGTCTTGGAATCTGGCCCATGGGGTTCCTCTTGGGTTGGAAAATTTAGCAGCAGAGAGCAGTGGCAGTTAATACTATCACCCCTCCCTGCTGCCAAAATCCTATGCCCTGTGCAGTGGATCAGAGCACAGGACTGGGTCATTCCCACTTCCCTCGCTGTGGCTGATTTGGAGCCAGGGCATGCTCCATCCCCCTGTGCTGCTGGTTCATGGCTGGGCTTGACCTGTCCCCCCTCAGTGGTCATTCCCCCTTTCCCTCTGCCTGGACAGGTTGGGCCAGGCTACACCATTGCCCATTCCCTGGATCAGGGCCTGGTTGGGACCAGGCCAAGCCCCTTTCCCTTGCATGACTGGATCAGGACCAGGCTGCCCCCCACCCCTTCTGCACAGCAGATAGGCCCCCAGAGCACCTGCTGTGGTCACTGGATTGAGACCACCAGCTGGATCAAGCCTGCAGAGGGACCCATCCCTGCCTATCTAATTAGCTGGAGAAAAAGGTTGAGCATCACTACTGCAGGGTGAATCACTATAACCATCACCCTAAACAAATTAGGGTTAAAATTGCAATGGTTTTGCTATATTTGTATTACTACAGAATTGTGTAGCTACAACAATTACATTGAAGAATTTTTTTATAGTATCCTTTGATATCAATACAGGTATGATATCTCTGAAATTGTCTTAATCTTTATCTACCAAAGTTATAATACTTCTCTCCTTTTTGTAGTTCATATTGCTTATGCAGAGCCAGGTGTACAGCCCTGCCAGTGCTCATCTCCAGCCAGGCTTGGTACATCACATCTACTTAGATTATAACTAGGCTTGGCAGAATTCAATGTTTATTTTTTTAACACTTTCAACAGATAATATTGATGTTTATTTTTTAAGCGTTCTTATGATTTTTATTTACTTCAATTTTTCAGGATTGTGCAAAATAGCACCCAGCACACTAGCAGTCTGCCTGGGGGGCTCCAGGGGGCACTGCCACTACAGAGGGAGGAACTGGGCCCCCTGCAGCTCAGACGCCACTGGCAGCTCACCCCACAGCCACAGGAGAAGTGTGCAGGCTCTGCCAGAAAAAAAAAATAAAGTGGGACCCTTACCACTCCCCCGTCTCCCCCCCCCCACCCCCCCACTGGGGCTTCCAGCTCCCCATGCACTGTCCCTGCTGCCTTCCTGCTGCCTGGGACTGTCCAGGATTAGGATGGTTTGCTCTTGGGGCAGTGCGGGAAGGCAGTAGGAGGGTGGCTGGGTGTGCTGGTGGCTGGAGAAAGTGGCGGGGATGGTGCATGGGGCACTGGAAACCCACCAAGCCTGAGCTTCTGCAAACTTTCCCAAGAGTCCAGCGCCCCATGCACCATCCCTGCTGTCTTCTCCAGCCACCCTCCTTCTGCCTTCCTACACTGCCTTGGGGGCAAGCCAGCCCATTCCCAAATTGCAGGAAGGCAGCAGGGACAGTGCACGGGGCTCTGGACGCCCACCAAGCCTCTCACCACTTTTTTTTTTCCAGCAGAGCCTGTCTGTGGCCTGGGAGCGAGCTGTTGGTGGACCAAGCAGCCCCTGAGCTGTGGGGGGGGCCCAGGAACGGATGCATCACTGCAATTTGTTTCGTAGCAAACTAAAATACATTGGGATGTGTTTTAGTTTGCTACATAACAAAGTCATTTAATATGCAATGTGTGTAAGGTGTGACGGGATTAAACCACTAAAAAGGGCAATTTCATCACAAGTGACCTGCATGACTGGAATGTAAAATGGTGGTAATAAGAGTCATTTCCTCTACCAGAAAAGCTTACAATCTAACAGGCAAAGCTGTAATTTTTATTCTACCCTCCAACCCTGCACACTTGCAACATTCAGCCTTCCACGAAAAGGGATGTGCAAATAGAAAATAATTTTTACAAATCTCTTTATAAACATCCTTTTTTCCTGTAAGCATGTGGTATAGATAAAGATATTAACCCTTTCTTCATTATATCAAGTTCAAAGTTTTGGTGCTTATTGTCAAAGTCCCTCACAATTCTGCCCATCTGTGCTTGACTGCTTTTATCTCGTCCTGTGTTCTGAAATTCTTTGTACGTCACTGCATGCCCTCTTACATCTAACAGCATACTTTCTTTTATGTCAGGCCTGGAACATGACTCTTGAACTAGCTATTACTCTTCCTGGACTGCAGCTCCTGCCTCCCA